ATATTTTGTTGTACAATTACTATATATAAATATATAAATTGCACAGATTTCTTTATTTCAATGTCTCTTCTGGTTCCTTATATCTACATACCGGCTCAGTAGTTTTGCTCCACATGTGAGGAGACTTCCTTATTCATAAGTCACTCTGATGAAGTGTCAAAAAGAGGTCACTCAGTGGGGGTGTCTTGCAGGATATAATGACTCAGCATCTATGTGACAAACCAATGACCTGCAAAGATCTCCTTTGCACAATTAGACACTGCACAGTTAGAGTGGTTCTACTTACATCCTTTACACAAATAAAGTGTCCCATAAAGACATGATTGTAACAGTGACTGTTACAGCCAGCATCAATGATGCCAGAAATCTGAGACTGGAGAAGCTAAATTAAATTGCATCATCCCTAATTTCATCATATATCTTTATCTATCATACTTACCCCCCAACATCCTCTTACAGACGAGGTTTTACCATCCAGACGAGGTTTTACCATCCAAGGGAAAAAAAAAACACCTGTGTGCATGTGCAGGACCTGATAGTGAATTATCTACCTTGCATGGTATTCCAAATATATGGTAAAAACAGGAGTTTTTAATGATAAAGAGAATTAAAAGTCTAACAAGACTAGCACAAGCAAGAAGCAACAATCTTCGTCTTACAAGATTATAGTCACCTAAAAAGATGCACCTGTTTGCTTTTCACAGATAATCTGTTTTACTCTTTTTCTATATGTGAAAGAGCAAGCATGTGGTTTCTGGCCTATGGGATAGCTAATCAGTCTGATTATATGATCACGGAGGTAATGCCAACCAAGTATCCAGTCTAAGAAATAATACGGTGATATAAAGGTGTTATTACACTACATGCATGGAAAGGTCTGTGTTGATCTTTACTGACAGATAAACAGCACTCCTCAGATCTTTGAGGACAGTAATGTGCATGTTTACAAGAACACAACTGTTAACTAATGAGTTGAGATTACTATTAATAAAAAATGTCAAAAGGTCAGGTAGTCAAGTTTATTTAAGATTTTCCACTCAATATTAAAACAATTGTTAGCAACAAACTACTAATTTTTTTCCACAATATTTAAGAGATGTTGTTAAACATTCCTCTAGCAACCTTTCATTTGATGTACAGCTCACAAATGTTGTTGACTGGTTTTCTTCTTGTTTCTTGCCTCTTTCTTGAAAATGCCTTATACTCAAATAGCACTTTTATTTCCTCTTTGCATTTTTGTTCTTTTTTTCCATGTTAATCTTTTCCCTTTACTGTACTGTTCTCAGATATGTGTTTCTCTTTCCACAGTTGTCTGAGACCTCATCATTATGGGATCACTGTTGCTGCTGCTGTTTTGGAAAAACTGTTTTACTTGCCTCTAACTTCCAGTTACTGGTTTGTTCTGTGAAAAGAGGGCTGCACACAGTTGTATCAAATCCGCAAAGGCTGAGGCTCCAGACACTGTGTTAACTAGTTTGGATTAGAGGTGTTCCATCTCTTTGAACAGATATCTGCATATTAATATGTTTTTGGTAACAGAAGCTCTTTGGTTTCCATCTGCAGACCACCTGTCTGAGTTCTATTGACCAATCACATCTGAGAAGACTTTGCTAGCATACAGGGTTAACCATCAGTGTAAGAGGCAAAAGAGGCATTAAATTAGGCAACGAACCATGAAGTATGGTCTCAAAACACCAGTGCTTCTTCTGTGCTTTCAAAATTTATCTGCATTTGTAAGGACTCGGGATGTCTATAATGGGTTATTCATTATCAGAGCCCAGAGTTGGGAACTTATTGGGTATTTTTTAATGATGCATTAGTCTCGACAGATGATAAGGTGGCATTTGTTAACATGACAGCACATTAACTCAGTGGTTAACTTTCAAACCTCACATGCCCCATCTGTGTTTGAATCCAGGGCTTTCTGTGGAGTTTGACGTTTTACCTGTACTTGTGCAGCTCTAGTTTTCAAAACAATGCCCATGTAAGCGCACGCCATAGACTGTATATAAAAGATGACCACCGCAACATCTTCCATTGGTTCGTGAACTTTACATTTTAAACCTTTGATTTTTGCTTTTCTGTCTGCACGTCTGTATCTTTAAACCTCGACAAGCCCGTGGATAGAAAAGAGGATGCAGTGATAAGTTCACAGTTTCCTATAGTGCTTAAACTGCTCTGACAAATCTCACATTCAGAGATGTTTGGTTCAGAGTATACATTTCAGTTGCTAAGTGATTTTGTGCCAAGAGAATTTAAGAAATATGAACAGGTGGATTAGAGTATTCGGTAAAATGGAAAGTGTTTTTTTTTTTCATATCAACACCATCTGTCCCACTGGTTACATTTTTCATGTCTGAGAAGTATGTGACATTTCAAAACCTTAATCTTAAGTCTGGATGCTGTGAGTCATGGTTCCTGAGATCCAGTTACATTAAAAAAAGAGATGCAGCAGTGGGGAAAGAAGAATGGATACAGAAACAAATAAAAAAAAAGGAAAACTGAGAGTAAAGCTTAACAAAACTAATAGGATACTGAATTTTTTCTAAGAAATAACTTTTTTTTAGTGTTCAGTTTGTTTTTGAACTTTGCAGTTGGATTACTTTCAGAAAGTGAGCTATTATTATTAATGAAACCAAAAGCTTTCTTATCTTATTGGTGCATGGCCCAGAAAGCTTAAACCTCTATTAATCTTGAATGCACTATCTCCTTTTTCTCCTTCGTCTGTCATCACAGTACCCGCACGATGCTGTAACCTCAACAGTTTTTGGTAAACCTTGAATCCTGCTGTGACATAGTCCATTCTCCGTGACATTTTTTTTGCTCTTGTAAAATTGAGGAGAGAAAAGATGAGTTCCAGCGACCAGGTTTGGGTTCAAATAACATTCTTTAGACCAGTGCAACTTTAAATGTGCTTTTTCAAATTATGTTGTTAATGTTGTAAGTCATGTGTCGTAATTTAATAACAATCTAGTTCCAAAATGTTTACTGGGATGTATGTAGTGGTAGCTTTATTGTAACGTATTTAAGACAGCTATAACTTTGAAAATGAATAGTAGTGTGCATATAAATAAAGACAATAATTTTTTTTTTAAAAATAGCAATATATGACCAAAATGCTAAAAGCCATTGAAGTGGCTTTACCCACCAGTTATCTGCACCCCATCACCAGTCAGGCCCACTCGTATCCTTATACAACCTTAAACTTTTCAGTGTCTCAGATACACGTAAATGCTTTTGGGATTTTGGGGAAACAGTGCAAAAAAAAAAAATGTTTGATGCTTTCAAAGGAAGGTGGAAGGATAACAATGCAATTTCACACCTTTATTGCTTTTCACTTTGCTTTTGTGTGAGATTACCGGTCACATGAAACACCCAAGAAAGCGTCTCACTGATGAATTAAAAGACTGATTGCACGAGAATTGCACCAGACACGAGGCTTGAAATTCTTGTGCGTGGCTTGCCTTGTGTCGAAAAAAAAAAAGAACATGCATCAGGCATGCTTGGTGCAGAATGCATTAGCAATGTCTACTCTTTAGGGTCACAAGGGCTATAGATTTAGCGGGCCGCCACCACAATCAGGAGTGCACATCTGCACTGAGCTCTTTGTATTTTCATACACGTCAACTCCTATGAAAAGGAGAGAAAAATACCCTCCAGTTAGGTGTAAATATATTACAACAACTCCTGCTGAGACAAGCATCAACAGAAAAATGTTATCATGTTTGTTCATCACATTCATAAGATGTAATTCTAAGCTATGCCTGACCTTTTCTTTACTGCTTTCTGCTACTGAGCAGGGGTTTTTTTGTGGTTATTTTTTCATTTTTCAACTTTTATGTGCCTCACTGAGAACAACCTGTAGTGCTAGCATGCCTGTAATTTACACACCAGCAATTACACTCTGCTCTGTTACCGGTGTCCAGCAGTATAGTGTTTTCAGTAGTTATTGTCAGGGAGGACATTCATTGTTAGAATTTTTGGTTTATTATATCAGCTTAACTGTCAAAACAGATATTTAGCTTTCACTCAGAGAACTCAAAATGCTATTTACATTACAATATAAAATACAGTAGACGACGTCACGTACAGTGGACTTTTAATATGTGGATTTTCTTCTTCCTGCTCCTTTTCACACATGGTTGTAGTGCTTTATTGATAGAAAGTGTGGTTGGTTTGTTTGATCTGTTGTACCAAGTGTGAAATAAATAAATAAATGAAATTAAATGAAAGCTACTTGATGAAATAGTTTGATAGGGTACATTGAATTGCTGCTTGATAAATGAGCATTAAACACCCCTGGATCCGGATTCAGTTTGATCTACTAATAACAACTAAAGTGACAGCCCCTGATTAGCCGTATTCACGATCTTTATGCTTGATCCGCCGCAATAATTCAATAAAAAAAAATCGATTTTAAGATCAGCCTGTAAGCTACACACTCATATACACACGGTTAGTTTGCTTTAGAGACATCACTTCATGTGTCTAAACCATCCTTGACCGCTTCTGCGCGTCGATTAATCAAGCGCATCAGTTTCACGAGGTTTAGCTCCAAAGTTGCGTGTGCCATAAATGTCCGTGGACGGATGCTTGTGTAGGCAGAGGCGCTGTCCACGGTACTGCATTCAGCCCCTCCCCGGTAGACATCACGAAGAGACACGTGATACTCTCTGTCTGTGGCTCCTGACAGTCGCTGGATAAGCTCAACAGGGAAACCAGATTGCACCTTCTCTTCCACAAAGATAACTGGATTTTCGCCCCGCGCTTCTCCCCACTAACCACATCGTGGGTTTGATTTTTTTTTTTTTTTTGTAGTTCTGTTGTGTTTTTATTAGCAGAAAATACATTTGGAGGACTGAATATTTAAGGTAATTTTTAAACCTGTGAGATTTTTTTTTAGGAGTTAGAGTGAAAGTGGACCCGTCTTTCTCGCTCTCTCTCCTAACCCCCCCCACCCCCCCTCTCTCTCTCCGCTCTCTCTCTCTCTCTCTCTGTCTCTCTGGCTGATGCTGCGATTCACTTGAAAGCAGATCTTGATGTGAAGGTTTCGCTAAAGAGGATTTGGAGCATTGGATTTCAAAGAGACAAAATATGGACAGTGCTGGTTTAAAGGAGCTCAGTCCGCGGCGCCTTGCATGAAATCGCGTTTCTTCTCTTGTGACAACTATTAAGGGTCCCGTAGAAGTAAAGGTGCACGCGCAAAGGTAATAACAGCGCCTCATATTGTTTACCGAAGAATTGTTGTAGTTGTGAGCGACTCGATAAAAATGCCGCATGGACATAAAATAACACACTTATTATAGTGAGCCCGTTGCAGCTGCCGTACATGGCAAATGTCAGGATATGGGGCATGTTATTGATGAGATGATGACGGCGAAAAGGCAAAATATATCAGTTCAGACGAGGATTATGCTATCTAATAGTTTAAGCATGATCATTAACACGCCGTACTGATCTTCATCACAGTTTCAGTCTATTGATAAGATGCTCCAGTCTGTGGAAAGTGCAGGCAAGTAAATCAGATCTACAGCGGTGCAGCGGTTAGAGTGCAGTGGTTAGAGTGTCTTTTCCCCCCTTCATCTTCTTTACTTGAAATGCAAACTAATTGCGGACCTTTAGAATCGACTAACTATTTTTGTTTTCGTTTTATTGCATTATTCTGCTCCTTTTGGTATTTGAAGGAAAAGCGGGATCTGGCTCAAACTCCGTGTGAAAAATAGGGACAAAGCACATAGTATGAAGAGCATTTTCTGGGTTCTGACTGAGACCCAGTGGAAGCCCGGCTGGTATGACTTACACAGACCGACCATTGTGCATCAAATGACGCACTTTTTCCTCTTGTTAGGGCTTCAAATGAGAACTGGACAGGGGGAGCCTATATCGGAATGCTGCTGATAAAACGATTGCAGAAGTTTTAACGCGTACAAGCAAAAGTAATACTCTCATTAAGAGAAAGAAAAAACGACGTAGGGCAGTTATTTTCTTATTTGCGTGACCGAGATTTTCTTTATAATTTGTTTTATTAATGCCGACCGCTGGGCGTGATTTCTTTCTATTTTTTTTTTCTTTAGATCACAAATTATAATTTACTCGTATTTCTTTTTCTCTTTAGATTGCGTGACTATTTCATTATGAAAGGACTGCATTTTAACGAGAATATTACAGATATTGTTTTCCTACTTGGTCATTAAGATCAAATAATGTGTCTATTCTCTGATATTGTCAAGAGCTGCCGTTTGCTTCCTGGAAAGCCCTAGTGATCTTAATCTAATGACATAGCTTGTGTTTGTTGTAACAAAGGCCTCACTGGATATAAGTCCCTGACTAGCTGTGCTTTTTGCCTTATCACAGCATTAATACTGGTTTTTGATTAAGGCTTTGACCAAAGTGGATTTAGACATGGATACGGTGAAATACTGATGCTACATTAAATTTGCTTTTCTTTTGCAGAGAGCTTTGAGTCTGGGGACTGCCTTGACAGACAGACTGCTTCTTTTGCTGAGCTTATCAGCCAACGTGGCTCCATATGGCATTTTTTTCTCTTTGCTACAGAGAATGCAGGGTGAAAAGCCCTGAGCAAGGCTTCCAGTTACCCGCCAAAGAATGTTGGCATGAACATGAAGATTAAAGCTGCCATTTCAACTCAAGTGAAACCGTGCACACACTAACTGGCACCAGAAGGGACTGTTCCGTAATTACATAAATCAGACCGAGTGTGCCCAGTGGATATTTGAATCTCTGTCCCTTTGCTCTAAATAACCATGGCAGAGAGGACCTTTAAACAGTTCAAACTATTTTGGCGACAACAGTGAGAGGTTTGGCCAGTGGCCTGGACTGTATGAGGTAATGGTGTTTGCTCCAGGATACAAGTGTTGGCCAAGCCTGTTGATATGCAAACATATTAGAGTTGTAGCATTTAATCTTTTGTCTTACAATGCATCAGTTTACACTTGTATGTCCATGTAGACAGTCAGTTACATGCCAGTCTACTATCTCACAGTCAACCCAGCTTATTTTTTTCCCCTTAAGCTAAAGTCCTTATAAGTACATTGAATTCTGTAAGTCCTAACTTCAGCCCACATAATTTGAAATCAAACAATGATTTCACCAAAGCCACATGTTGCCCATATTATATGGGTTGGGCTGCTCATTTGTTGCTTTGTAGAAATAGGCACTTGTCTAGAATTTACAGGTGCTGAGGGTCAGTGGGCTAGATTTCCAGTGTGGAATGCATGTTGCGAAAGTGAAATGAGCTTCAACATGAAAACAAGGAGTTCCCATGGGCTGCTAGTTTACTTTGATGATGAGGGATTTTGTGACTTTCTAGAGCTCCTCATACTGAATGGTAAACTCAGCCTTCGATTCTCCATCTTCTGTGCGGAGCCTGCGACTGTTATATCTGACACAGCGGTCAATGACAGCCAATGGCACACAGTCACTATAAGGAGAAACTTTAAGAACACTACCCTAATGGTGGACAATGAGATAAAGTGGGTGGAGGTGAAGTCTAAAAGACGGGATATGACTGTTTTCAGCCATTTGTTTGTTGGTGGAATACCACCGGAATTACGATCTGTTGCACTACGTCTGACATCGGCTGCGGTCAAGGATCAGCTGCCTTTTACTGGATGGATAACAGACATAAAGGTCAACAACACGGAGTCTGTAATGATTAACAGTGAGGGTGTCTTAAATGACCTCTGTGGTACAGCCAACATGTGTCTAAATGGAGGAGTCTGCAGTTTAATTAACAACGAGCCAACGTGCGACTGTTCTCGGACAGGCTTCCAAGGAAAGGACTGCAGTGAAGGTAAGGCTTTGATTTAATCTGAATCATACATTCAGTACAAAGTGTCCAGTGTAGCCTTTACAGTCAACAGGAAGTTATTCATAATTTGGCTGTTTCAATTACTATCCTCCATAAAATTACGCATTCCCTTCCTCTATTTGGCTAAAGCCATATGTTTTCCTTAGTCGTATGATGTGTGCCATTGATCTGCAATACAGCTGTTTGGAAAGACTGAATCTCCTGCTAGGCCTCATTAGCAAAACATTCTGGTGTTCTTCATCCCCAAAGGTGTCTGCCATTCTTATCAAATAGGTCTTTAGGGATTGGTTGACCTATGAAAGATCTCCAATGACATACTTTTCAAATGGAAGAGCAGGGGTAATCATCTATGTGCCTGACTGAGTAAACAGGAATGACATCATTGAATGCATACAGTATAAATCTTTCCAGTGATGAGAGTATATTCGATCTAGTATCTAATCATTGTATCCATATGATTTTTTTGAGAAAACACAAAATAAAATTGCAAATGTAAAATAACTGAATTATGACCTTTAGCAGAACCATGTGCAAAATGTATTTAATAATACTAACTGCTAAAATACAGCAGGATAATGAAGGTGAATAAAAAAGGTTTTGAGAACGTGCAAACTGATAGACAAAGAGAACACAGGGTTCTTTGAGGTAGCGAGAATACTATCACTCTGTCTAGTCTGTAAGGAAAACGTATGAGTGTTCAGAGTATTTAGTGCAATGCTACCCTCAGGTTGGCAGCTTATTGTGATGCTGAGGGGGAGGATGCTTGCTGGTCAGTCAATGGGGGAGGGATTTTAACTGTTTTTAATGTTATTCGTCATGCTCAGTTAAATACAGATGAATCTGAACCTATTTTAACCTATTTTAAATACGGTAATGACACTCACGTCTAATTTACAGTAGATTTCATAAGATCATGTATCTTTATTCAGGCACATAAATCTTTTATTAACAATGAGCTTATTAAGGCACTACTGGAAAACTTACTACTGCCACATAAGATATTCTCATCAAATTGCAAACATAACATCTTCATATAGCACCATGCTTTGTGAACAATGTTTTATTTTTCCCTTTAATCGGGTCTTGTAGATGTTGTAGATGGTGTTAATTAAACAAGAAGTAGTACAGCCTTTCACTAACCACATGCACCGACACATTGAATAATTGCTGTAGTTCACTAACAGGCATTTAAGTGTAAATGTTATTTAGTCTACTTTAAATCCATGACAAGTAGTGTTGGCTGTGTTGCTGTGCTGCAGAAAGAAAATACAAATAGATCCACAATTAGAATGCGACAGTGAATATCTTGAAATATGTCATTATTGTTCCATTTTCTGCTTCTTTCAGAGCAGACTACAGTCTATAATCAAAATTCTTTGATTGTAACAGTGTCATTATGTATTGCTGTAATTTTAATTATTTTTTTTTTTTTTGCAGTATTGTAAATTACATTTCAGTACATAGATAGATTTTTTTTTTTTATTTAAAAATGAATCCAAAAGAAGTATCTATTCAGGGAATCTCTCATTTGGGTTTATTAATGTGTCTTTGACCATTTTTCTTACTACTGCGCCAAAAAGAGCTGTGAATTCAAAATAGCTTTATTATTTCAGTTTCCCTAAGCTGACGAAAAGCTAGCGATTGTGTGCAGCCATATTTTTTTTCTCATTTCATGCTGGATGCAGCCTGACAAAAGGCCCGTCTTGGGGAAAGCTGGGATTCTTTTATACAAAATGCATGGGCACTGATTAAATCTTAACGTTATTATCTTATCACAGGATACAACTCTTTAACAAAAAAAGTAATACATTAGCAAATTAGAAATTACATTCATAAATTTAGTTTAGCCTTGATACTATCTCTGAAGTTCAAATTTATTGGTATTTATTGGAAGAGTTGATTTATAAAACTCCCAACACACAACATTTGTATGGCTAATGTATAATTTGCCAGATTTTTGGAATTTTGGGACTTGGAAGTTCTATACATGGAGACTTCAAATGCAGTATTTTAGAATCCCTGCAAAACAAATCATTAAATATCTTTAAAAACAAAAACAATGGTTTATATAAATTAAAAATGATGATGAACCCACTTCATTCTACCTTAAGGATTCATTCGTAATCTAACATTCCTTGATCTATGTGGTTAATTTACAGATTCATATTCCAGTGTTTAGGGATTAAATAATTACTTTAAAACTGTGTTTGATAATTTTATACAATACATCTATATTTTCTTTGTGTGTGTGTGTGTGTGTGTGTGTGTGAGTGAGTGTGTGTGTGTGTAAGTGTCTCATTAGTCGAGAATTCGGAGGAAGAGATTTTAATATGCACAGCAGGGTGGCTACTGGTGTTAATAGTTTTATACACATGCAATAGCTACTTGTTTGTGTTGTTTATTTTTATATGAGCTGCATGAGCAATGAGCAGCCATTATCGAAAGATGTTTGTGTATTAAGTATATCGCAGCAGTAGCAATCAGAGTGATTATAGTGACAAGTTGAAAGCTTCCTAATAATGAAAAATCCTTTAAAAATATGTTGTACATACAGCCATACAGGGGCTTTGATGGGGTGAAAATAGTCTAGTAAGTGTGTCTGTATCTTAGGGGGAAAATATCTAAAGGAAAAATAAAAGGTGAAAGCAAAAACTCTTTGATTTGATAGATGGCTACTAATTTTCTAATTTTAATTGCAGAGCAGGGATAATAACAAATAAATTATTAAATTCACGAGTTGTCCTGAATGGAGAATTTGCTATTCCCTTCAATGTAATCCCTTTGAGCAGCTAATTCTGACCACTTGCTTGTACATCTCCGAGTCATGCTTGACCTCGCTCACTGTGTCAAAGTTGCAACACTGAAAAGTACATTTAATTTTAGGGAGAAAGAAGCAGATGTTTGAGCCAAAAGTTCTCCCTGAGATGTGTCAGCGTGCTGCAGCATAATCTAGGCAGTTATAGGCAGTCCTACCTTGGGTAGCAAATTTACAGCAAACAACGAAACTGACAATTGTCTTTCAGTGGTCCTGACTTGATTCTCCTTTTGAGGACTTGGTGACTGAAGTCTTTTCCTTTGAAGACTGTCTTTATTTTATTCTGGATAATAACTTGTCACCAGTGATGTTGGATACTGTTTGTTTGATATTTGCTCTCATTCATAGTTTGAGGTTCATGGTGAAATTGCAAATATACACTAACAAGCCCTTCCAGCAAGTGCTCTAAGCCAGAGCACTGGAAGCAGTGCATCATTGCACAAGGAGACAACCTTGAAGGGGATGGCAGAGTATCACATTTGCTTTTTATAGGCAATGTCTCAAAACTTTATAACCCACAGTGTATATTCGTGCTGCAAGTTACTGAACTGAAGCCCTGAAGCTACAAGCACACACCGTTTATTACAAAGTATAGTTTATAATTTTATGATTATAACAATGACTTTAAAAGGGTTTTTTCAAGAGCAGATGCACAACATCATCAGGTAAATATATTGTCTATAGTGAATCCATTGATCTGGTACTATATAGTGGTGGCAACATCGAGGGTTACATGGAAGCCAGATACCAAGCCAGCCAGCCCATGGTTACTCCACCAATCTTACCTTAATGGCACGATTAGATCTCAGTCACACAGGGCTTGAGACCAGTTGATGTGAGTTAATAAGTGGTTTTTGGAGGTTGCTAGCTGTTTCTGGATGAAATTGGTTGCAAAGAGAGTGCTACACCAAAAACCTCCTTGCGGTTGCTGTGATCACCCATTATTTGGATGTAAGATGCCGACTTATCTGCAAATACTCTGCATTTACTCCTTGAACAGTAGTAAAACTTGAGACAGTGTGAGGCAAACGAATCCATTGTCCTCTGTGCAAGCTGCTAGCGACTACAGAAGCCTGCTACTAGCCAAAGCAGTCACAGGGAGGTTTTTGTCGAGGCAGTTAATGCTCGTGACTATCAACAGCCTTCAGTGAACACTTGCCAAAAGTCAGTGGAATACACATTTTCCCTAGCAACAGGTGGTTACCATGTGGTCTAGTTCTGCATAAATATGGTTTTAACAATCATTTCTTAGTGATTGTCAGTAACCACCTGCATCCAGTCAGGGAATACACATTTTTGCCTTGTGACCAGTGGTTGCCAGATGGTCGCCAATTGGTTTTTAAGTCTCTGTGAATGGGGTTTTGTATAAATATATATAGAATGCTTTAATATACCTACTCATAAGCATTTAATGATTTTAATTAGTGCTAGATTGATTAAATCTGTGAAATTTGAAGGACTCTGGGGTTTTGCAGGTCTATAAACAACAAATAATTTCATAAAACAAACAATACTTATTTGGACTTCTTACAAAGCACATTTAAGCAATAAATATTTAAATAGTGAAAACACATCATTATAATAATAATTTAGGTAGTATTGATGGAAATAGATGCAAGGTCCACATTTTATCTAACGCCGCCTTGTCCCTATGCAGACTTTGTCACAGGTACATCCTTTCATAGAGAAAACCTCTGAAAACCCTCAAGGCAAACCTCTACCATCACCATGACCGGCTGTCAAGCACTCCAGAATGGGATTGGAACACTTGGATTTCTCCTGATGCCTTTAATGGCTAATCTGCATTTAACTAACACAATTTCTAGTTATGCTGGCAAAAATTTACCACACACTTTATAATGACTCATTCTGCAGATCTAGCCTCGGTATTCATTTAGAGTTATGTTTCTGGCTAACCATCAAATAGAAGAAATTGTTCTGTTTTATGTTCACTGGTTACTTTGTTTTCTGTTTGCTGCTGAGCAAGTACTGGGTTCAGCATAGCTTTTATACCAGTTCCCTGCAGCTGTTGAGAGCCAAAGTGAGTAAAACTGACTTAAAACATTAAAGTTGTGGTCTGCGGACCATATGGGCTTGGCTAGTAACTATATGTGAGGTCATCATTTTAAATTATTTTTTTTAATTTATGCATTATTGTTTCATTTTA